AAAGCCATTTCAAAATTCCCATTACCAAACACAGCAAAAGAAATAAAATCTTTTTTAGGACTATTAGGATTTTACCGCAAGTTTATAAAAGACTTCGCAAAAATTACAAAGCCGCTAACGAAGTGTTTAAAGAAAGGTACTAAAATAATACATGACAATGAGTTTAGAAATGCATTCGAACTTTGTAAGACAATTCTGACCAATGAACCCCTGTTACAATACCCGGACTTCGAAAAGCCCTTTATTTTAACTAGTGACGCTTCAAACTACGCCATAGGAGCCGTTTTATCCCAGGGCCCGATAGGAAAAGATAGACCAATTGCTTACGCAAGTCGCACGCTTAATGACGCCGAACAAAATTATAGCACCATAGAGAAGGAACTACTAAGTATTGTAAATTTTACAAAATACTTCCGTCCGTATCTATTCGGACGTAAGTTCACCATCATCACGGACCATAAACCACTCCAATGGGTAAATAACCTTAAAGAACCTAACTCTAGATTAATGCGCTGGCGCTTAAAACTCATGGAATATGATTACGAAATTATGTATAAAAAAAGGCAGCGAAAATAAAGTTGCAGACGCCCTATCGCGTATAGAAATACACCCGATCGAAACACAATCAATGATAGGTAACGCGGACGCTAGCGAAAACAGAATAACCGATGATTTTCCCGACATAGCTTTGGACGATTTAATAACGTTAGAAAATTCACCTATTGAACAATTAGACACAAATCCAGAGACAACAAACAAAAAAATAAACATAATTTCAGACGTCATAATAAAACAGAAAAACCCTTCAAATGAAACAGTACATTCCTCCCAATCGAACCCCACACTAAATATACCCATAACCGAACAACCGATAAATGGATTTAGGAACCAGATCATACTAAACGTAACAAAAGACTTAATAAAACCAAAAATTAAGCTTGAAAAACCTTTTAATGTTAAAGATCGAATAAAAGTGACATTGCCCATTCAAAATTTCGAAGAACATCTAGTAGAAACGTTTAAAAATTATATTAAACCAAATAAAACTTATGGCCTACTAATACAATCAAATTTTGTACACAATGTCATAATCAATTTACAAAAATACTTTAACGATAAAGCATACAAACTTATTCAAACAAACAAAATAGTTAAAGAAATAGTTGACAAAGACGAACAATTGGAAACCATCCAAAATCACCATGAGACAAAAACCACACACAGAGGTATAACCGAAACAAAAACAGCGCTAACAAGAACTTATTATTGGCCCCAAATGACTAACCACATAACGAATTATATAAATAATTGTATAACTTGTCAATCAGTTAAGTACGAAAGACGACCCCCTAAATTTGAATTAAAACCGACCCCAATAGGCGAACACCCGTTCGAACATATTTATATTGACACTTTCTCAATAAGCGGACAAAAGTTCCTAATGGTAATTGACTCTTTCTCGAAGTTTGCACAAGCATACCCTATTCATCTTGTAACAACTGATATCTGAGATCAATTAATGATATTCTTTTCACATTACGGTATTCCCAAAAAACTAACCTGTGATCCAGGTACCGAATTCAAAAATAACCTATTTTCAGAGTTTTGCAAAAAACATAACATAGTATTACATCACGTCACAACCCGACATCCAAATAGTAATGCCCCAATTGAAAGACTACACTCCACACTCATAGAAGAATTACGAGCTTTAGAACTAGAAAGCCCAAGACAAAATATAAAACAATTAATGACCCTTGCAATATTAACATATAATAATACCATACATTCCTCTACACGCTACACACCTTTTCAAATCATAAAAGCAAACTTAGAGTTCGACACACCTTTTAACCTCTCGGAAAATAAAATAATGTCAGATTATATTGAAAACCAACAAAGAAATATGAAAGTTATGAACGAGTTTATAAATAAACAAAATAAAAAGGTAAAAGACTTAACCAGACAAAACCAAGACAGAACCGAATTCCCTGTATTTAAACCAGAAACTGAAGCTTTCTTACTTCAAAATATACGCAGAAAAATAGCCCCAAAATACAAAAAAAATAATAATTAATAAAGACTTAGATAATAAAATAAAAACCAAGGATAATCGTATATATCATAAACAAGAAATTAAACCAATACGACTAAGATCTAAGGAAACATTATCTGTTTCAGATGTGGAAAATACTAGTATTCACTCTGCAAATGATGCCAGTACATCTACAAATTAAAATGACACCCTTAACTAATCCCCTAATGCCCTTCTTAATCAGTAAAGCCAAGGTAACGAATCATAAACACTCTTTTATAAAATATATTGACTTAAATCTTTTTATCGACCCTCTGAAAGCTATCGAAACAAACGAAAGATCGATAGTACCAATGATCGACAAAAAGGATGAACTATATCCCTCAATAAACGAAATTCATAATCACTTAAACTATTTGAGAGACAAGGCCCAAAGAAAGTTAAACCAAATAAAACCCTCTTTCAATTTACGTACAAAACGAGGACTACTTAACATTGTAGGAAAAGGCTCCAAATGGGCCTTTGGTTTATTAGACTCAGACGACGCGGAAAGATACGACAATGCAATTAACGCCTTAGACAAAAATCAAAAAAAGTTACACCATGATCTTGAAAACTATATTACAATAACAAAAAGTTTTATGAATGAGAGTAAAGAGACACTAAACAAGGTAATAAGTAATCAGGTCGTAATCAACAAAAAGATGAGAACATTGGAAAGCAATTTGAATAAATATACATTGTTCCTAAATATTCAAAATTATCTAGACGTAATGATAATTGATTGCCAGAATATAATTGAAATATTGGATACACTCGAAAACTCAATATTATTTGCCAAACTAGGGATAATACATAATAACCTATTGCCCCTAAATGAAATAAAACAAATGAAAAATGTTATACAGGAAATCTATAAAAATGGATTACCTACATTTAAGTTCGAACAATCTTATTTAGAAATTATAAAAGTAGAAATTCATTACATACTAGACAAATTATGTTTCGTCTTCCACATACCTATAACGGACGAGAATCTCTATGATTATTATCACTTATTCCCGATCCCCGTTAACAATAAAATCATTGTACCCCCAAAACCATACATCCTGATAAACTCGACAAACCATTACTACTCCAGAGATCCATGCCCCATGGTTGAGGACCTGTGCGTGTACTTTGTACAACAACCACCTTTCCAGGATGATTGTATCCCACATGTACTTAGAGGAAATCAACTTAATAACTGCCCCACTATTCAGGTGCATAAAATCACATCCACCATAGTCGAACCAGTGGACGACGCCCACATTATAATAATACCTGCAAACAAAACAAAGGTACAGAAATTATGCCCCGAAAGTGAATTTGCCGAAATAAACGAACCACATCTAATCTACCTACCACAAAGCTGTTCGGTTCATATAAATAATTACAAAATAATGCCATTTCCATCCAAGGAAAACCCATCGAACTCCTACCTATTAGAACAATAAAAATGTTATCACACAACGAGTTGCCCATGGTACTACAGGAAGTACATACCGATAAATTAGACGATATTTATCGCGTTGCCAAAACCACTCACCTTCAGGACTTAGAAGAAATTCAAAATCTTGGAACTAATGATATCTTACTTTATATTTGTATAACTTTAATTATTATCATATTATTATATATATTATACAGGTACTTATCAAAAAATAAAGATAAGATTACCCAGTTATTTGTAACGCATAATTCGAAAAATGATATCAAACACGAAAACAAACCTACCCCTTTGTTTTCATCTTAGGGATGGACGAATTATGAATGCTAAGTTGATATCATTTTTACGATTACAGCTTCTGCTGACATTGCAAAGCATAGTTTATAAATATATGTGACTGCGGTTACCAACGCAGATTTAGCTCATTGTTTGAACCATACATTGCTTGTTAATTTAAATACTAATAATAAAGTTGGTTATTTTTCGAAATTATTTGCTTTTTAAAAACGAAGTATTTAACATCAAATACGTAAATCGAGTAACCCAGGGGATACTTATGAATCCGGGGGAACGGACATCGCGGAACTCTCCGTATGTCCGCGATTAGGTGATTATGATATTAAATAGTTTTCATATCACGTTGCCATTCTTTCCGTACACGAGATTACTAAATTTCATTGCATCCAATTAGGTTCTTTTTTTATTACGAATAAAATGGCAACATTAAGCAAAGTACGAGTCCATATGCTTGGGATTTGCGAATATAATAACTTGACGGCACTTGAGCCAGACAGTACGTCACACGTGACGTCATTATCGTCAAGTAGGGGATCTGCATTACCGACAGTTCGGCCCCGGGAAATTCAAAATGTGCTGCTGCCACCTAGTGACCAGTAGGGAGAGTTCGGGCCTACCGGAATATATTGTGTCCGTTAATTGTGTAACAATATTTATATTTTTCGGCAATTATTAATAAAGTTTTTTAACGAAAAAAAAAAAATCCGGAGTGTGTAGGGATCGAACCATCGATCACTTGTATTTTTATGTATTATATTTGTTGTAGATATGTATGTATATGTATAGTATAGTGTACCTTAGTTAAGTTTATATAATGTATTTTAATAATTAATAAATCTTTTAAATTGGATTGTAAAGTCGGTGTTTTACCCGCTAGACTACTAACCAGTTATGTCGAAGTTTCACTTGTTGTTAGTATAGACATCATTTTCCATTTAAACATGTGCAATTAATTTAAATAATCAATTTGTAGCATTAAACATACATGTTATTGTCTATAGTATGATAATTTATTATAATTATATTGCGAATGCATTAAGCATTCATTGTAAAAAAGATGCATTGTTTGTAGATATAGGTAATTAGTTTACATGCAACATTTTCTCCTTGAGCATAGATTTAATATATCCCATCAAATATTTCCCGTTAAATGTATGAATAACAAAAATATTCTTTAAATGTCAGGTGTGAAATTCGAATCCACGCTTCGAATCTCAAATATATTTTGGGGTGCCTTAGACCACTCGGCCAGCCTGACACGTCGACTGTTTAGAGATGTTAAGATTTGAGATTATTAATTTGGTGTGTATTTTAATTATTAAGAAAGCTTCTAATGAAAAAAATTCAATAAGTTTTGCACGGCGGTACCAAATGATTCACAGAGTTTCATAAAGCTATATACAACTTGCTCAAAGAATCAGTCAAAATAACACTGGCGGTTCTTCTATAGGGTCATTTGGTCAATGACCTCCCACATACAAATAAAAAAATAGAGCTATTCATTTTCTATAGTTTAAATATATATATATATATATATATATATATATATATATATATATATATATATATATATATATATATATATTTTAAAGAATATTAAAAATATATATATTATAAATTTTTAAACTTCAGAAAATAGCTCTATTTTTTTATTTGTATGTGGGAGGTCATTGACCAAATGACCCTATAGAAGAACCGCCGTTGCAAAATAATGTGAATGTAATGTGTCCAGTTTGTCTTTTCATTCATATTTAGTATAAATTGTAGATCAAGTTTAATGATCATATTATGTGGATAATAACGTGCCCGGTTGGGTATACAATGTAACATTATAAAATATTACTTCTTATAAGAAGGGCTCGGGCGGTCAGCTGTTAGTTAGGTCGCGCCAGAGGTAGATAACCCAACATGCTACTTCACTGTGTTGTCTGGGATGGTAACTTTAGAACCTTCTCTCTCGACAGGGGAATCTGCAGTGATTATTCTGGCGGGACAGTTGTCCCAATATTTGCAGCGTCATTTGTTTCTAGAGTACTCTGTACCGCGGCATCGTGCCCGTATGCCAATTCATAGCATGGTTATCTGCGTCTGTCTAGCTTTGCAGCGGGCGTGCGGGTACTTCATACAAGAGAACTTCCTCTTTTACACATATATGTAAAGTACGGTGGGGGAAAATTGGTGTTGGACAAAAAAAACCCGGAACAGATGACTACGAGGCTCCAGGTGTTTGATGCAATTTTTACTACTCATCGAATTATGAATTTTATTTCATAAGTGGTTTCCACACTGTATACGTTAATATAAAACTAAATAACATCAGCCAAAATAACTATGCAGAAATTATGAAGAGATACATATAAAATATGAGTAGTACTTCTTAATTTTTATGTTAAACAATTGGGCATTTGGCTTCTAAATTATTAGTAAATTTTTGCCTTTCAAAAATTTTATTTTTTACCCAATCTTGCAAGCAATATTGTGATAAAAATAATTTTCGCAATAGGTAATATTCAAAATACCAGGTGGGTATTTTAAAATTTGATACAAATATGTTCCTAGACTTCTCTAATTTAACCTCAATTATGCAACGTGGAATTCCAAAAAAGGACTAAACTGCTGTGGTGTTAACATGTACTGAAAACTACTGTGAACCATTTTGGATGAAATTTTTTGAATTTAGTTAAAATATACTAGTTGAAAACGATATTTTGAAAATTTATAGATAAAAATTGAAAAAATAAAAATAAATCGAATTAAAATTTGACGATAAATTAAATGTGTAGATGAAAATTCGTATATAAAAAATTTGACAAATTTTAAGATTAAAAATTCGATAGGCAAAAATTGGACAAATCTTGAGATTCAAATTAAAAGCCTTATAAGATCGATAAGGCTTCTCGAATAAAATCTAATAATCCATCAAAGATGATCTCAAGCAATTCGATAGGCTAGTCGACTAGTTAGCCTCCATATTTTCTACTCCGTCTTTGCTTTTCACATTCACATTGTATCAATCGAGTACGTTCGGATTTTTTAAAAATATTTTTTTCTTTCAAATTGTATAACTTTTAATTTGAAAGGTATCAAATATTTCCAATGTCATTATAGTTGTATTTATTAAATCAATAATATATTTTGTATGATTCTAAAATCTTTATTTCCCCGCACCATCTCTGTGTAGCAAGTGTTTATCTAACTAAACTAGATAACATAACAGAAAAGAGAACTTTATGTCTCGTTTGCTATACATATTCATGGGCATACTTAAATTTATTTATATTAACGTTTTTAATATTATTAAAAATTTTAGTTATATTTATTAAACAAGGCTTGTAATGGATTATTTAAATACATAGGACATTACATTGTAAGAATAAGAAATGGGTTTAAAAATATAATTTTCAGCTGATCACCTTGTATAAAACAAAAATAAGATATCAAAATAGGTATAAAAAAAATAAGAAACAAAGAGCCAACTCTTAACATATGTATAGTGGTAGTATTAGTATTGTTACATAAGGATTCGATCATGTTTTTGGTATTATTTTACAACAATCGTTGAGTTCACTCAACGGATTTACCAAAGGCGACGGGACGCCTGGGGCAGAAAGGCGCAGGGAGCGGTGCCCCCCTAGCCGAGTCCGGTCTTGACTATGACACAATTGGCCGAAAGTGTGAGTAACTTTACTGCGGAGCGGATATACCTTAAGCGGGAGACCATTTATTTAAAAATTAGGACTGGCTAAAAAAATTAATTTACAATAAAAAAATTATACATACTGTGAAAGTATGTATCTTCGGACAGTAACCAAAGTTCGAACAAATGACACTGACCCACACCAATTAGCTAGCCTCATCTAGTAGTCAGTTTCCAAACTTTCCGCGTATAGACAGAACGATTCAGGTGGCCGTTGGGAAAAGCTTTATTATCGGTTTTTGATGCATGTTGCATTCATTTGCCTTTCACAGAGCGGTAAAGTTGTGCTATAGGAACTGCACGTTTTTGGTTGGGTATATACTTTCCATGTAAGTAGAGCGTTATTTTGTTAAGAACGCAGTTGCTTATGTAGCACTATCATCTTCGCCGAGGGCGTTGTAAGTGTTTAAAATCAAATAAATTTTTATTTTATTTTGTTTAATCTGTATTAGATGGCGCATGATATTAAATAATTGATACAGTTTTTATTTTGCTAATACCTGTACTACCGCACGAGAGATGGCGCTGGAAATTAGGGATTGTTGGGACAAACCTAGTCCTGGAGTGGGTTGGAACTTTTGATGTGAAGATTAACACTGACGTAGTTTTCCACGAAACACCAAAATACTATATACTGCACTCGACACGCGTTTCTCCAATCAAGTTGGTATTATCTGGAGATGATTAAAACCAAACTTATGCTGACATCTACCCTGTTTATACCCAAACTGTTGTCACGGTTCACCGAACCGTAACTCACTAACCAATAAAGCGGGCTATTTTGGATAGGCCCTCTGTCACTATTCATACTATTTTTACACTTTATGATTTCCAAATTTTCAAACGCATCCAGCTGTCTAGTATTTGTTACATCCCTAATTAATGCATGTTGGGCAACACTAGACTTATCTGTTCTACCTTGAAATGGGCCATATGCTCTTTGAATCTACTTCTAGCGTATAGTAGTGTACACACGTATATTTTCACTCCGTCATTGAAGTTAATTTTAAGTGGTTTTAAGTCAAAATAAAATTACGATTTCTTGTATGTTATATACATTGAGATCTAGTGATTGTACTAGCCAAATTTATTGTTGGAAATATTGTGTAATTTCTTCGTAATTTGAATTTGAATAATATTTGTCAAGTGTACTGTAATTAAATGGAAGAGTCGATTTGCAGTTTTTGTAATCAAGCGATAGCACGCCGTGCAAAAACGGTTACTTGTGATGGGTTTTGTGGTAAACTTTATCATGTCGAGTGTTCTAATTTATCAGCTGATGTCTTGAAAAATTTAAATAAAATATCTGGTTTATCCTGGAAATGTCCCTCTTGCTTCAATGTTGCGAAGTCTAATGAAGAACAATTTAAAGCCATCCTGAAGGAGGTTGATGAAATGTTTAACTTCATGAAAAACGATTTTATGAAATGGGCTGACAAAAAATTCGATGAATTAAATAAAAATAATAATAATAAACCGGATACACTCCTAAGTTGTATTCTGCTGTTGTCGAATCGAAATCAGCCATATTAGTAAAATCTAAAAATCAGCAACAAAATAATTATGTAACCAAGGCTGAGGTTCCTCAACATATCAACCCCGTTGTTTCTGATATTGAAATATCAGGCGTAAAAAATATTAAAAATGGAGGTATTCTCATTGATTGTCACGACGATGCAGGAGTTTCTAAATTTAAACAATTAGCTAATCAAAAATTGGGCGATAAATACGAAATCAAGGATGTGTCTAATTTTAATCCAAGAATTAGGCTTGTTGGCATGACCGCTGAATTTAGTGCTGAAGATATTGTGAATTTTGTGAAATTTCAAAACAAGTCCGTTATGAGTGATAAGTTTGAGTGCAAAGTTTTGAATATATCATCCATTAAAAAGAATAAAAATATATATCAGGCTGTTCTGCAGATAGATGTAGATTCCTATAATAAAATAATGTCAACTGGAAAGGGTAAGTTGTTTGTGGGGTATAATCTCTATGATGTGTATGATTCTATTGAAATTAAAAGATGTTTTAATTGTAGTGGTTTTCACCATTTTTCCAAGAATTGTACTAGTGATATTTGCTGTCCTCGATGCTCTGAAAATCATTTGGTGAAAGATTGTAAAGCTTCCGATTTGAAATGTATTAACTGTATAAATATAACGAGGAAAACAACACCAATATCTGCATCAATCATGCAGCATGGAACTCTAATGAGTGTTTTGTGTATAAGCAGAAGATAACTGAATTTAAATCAAACTTGCAATTTGCTAATTAGCAACTACCATGTTACCAAGATGACAGTGTAATTAATAATACTCAGATTCAAATTTCTAATCAGACTTTAGCTATTCCCACTTTAGATATGTATTATCAGAATGTTCGAGGACTGAATACCAAAACACATGATCTTTACAACGCGATATACACCTGTCAATATGACATTATAGCCCTTAGTGAAACTTGGCTTCAGCCTCATGTTTTAAATTCTGAACTTATTAGTGGTGATTACTCTGTTGTAAGGGATGATAGAAATATTTTACATACTCACGTCAAAAGAGGCG